ATGTATTTTAATTACCATTTCTATGATGAATTTTCCAATCTATTTATCTCTCTGACCTCTGGTTTCACATTTCCAACTGCCTTTAAGACTGAATGTCCAGTAGACATCTTGAACTTAATATGTCCAAAACTGACATATTGCCTAAACCCTTTCCCACCTCCAATTGCTTTCCAAAATCAAAGACAAAAATCCTGTTTGGCATTCAAAGCCCTTCATAATCAATCCTTCCCCTCATCTTCCAAGTCTTCTAACACTGTATACCCACAATCAACCACAAACACATACTCTTCCATCTAATAACACTAGTCTCCTTGCCCTTCCATGAACACTCACAGAACATGGGCTCCATGAACCCATCTCTCAGCTCTGGGCATTTTGCCTGGCTGTGTCCTATGGATGGAAAGCTCTCCCTCCTAGCTTCCCTCAAGGCCCAACTAAAATCCCATCTTCTATGCTATAGGAGTACTTCCCAATTACTGTTAATTTCAGAGGTTTCCTTCTGTTAATCATTTTCTATTTACATATTTGTACATATTTGTTTGCTTGTTAATTCCCCCATTAGATTGTAAGCTCCTTGAGGGCAAGGATTATCTTTTGCTTTACTTTGTATCTCCAGCACTTAGCATGTGGTAGATGCTTAATGACTGACAACCTAGCCCCATACTATCTTCACAACTTTATACACATTCCCCACTCTAGATTCTATATAATCCACTCATTCTGATCCTTTTATTCCTCACGCAACACACCATCTCCTATCAATGTGCCTTTGAATTGAGGGTCCATCATATGTTCTCCTTCCCTAAGTCTTTTGGGATGCTTGTTTTTGCATAAAACCTTTTCCTGATCACTATAAATCAGTGTTTTGTATTGCTTCATGTTTTCTACATGCCTTCCATTGCACATATATATAATATTTATATTTATATTATCTACTTATTAGTAAATAAATTCCTTGAGTAAAGTGCCTGATTGTTTGTCTTTGTATCCATAGCCCCAAGCATGTTGACTGAAACAATGTTGTATCTGCTTAGTAAATGCGTGACTGTTGCTGAACATTATTTAAGGCTAAAGCACATACCTAACAGATATGACACTGTGATACTAGGATGAACTGTTTTATACACTAATAACATTTCATACTGATAGGTGACAATGGTCTGACAAAACTCCCAACCTGAACTGTTTAAAATATTAGTGGATACGTGAGTCACCTGCATTTTTTTTTTAAACACCAATTCCAAATACAAAACTTCAAACTCTGGTAACAATGAAATGACCATTTTTCAGAACACTGATTGCAGAATCTTTAAAAAAAAAATATTCCAAGCTGGATACTTTTTTAAATGAGCTATGAATACCTGATATCAAAAGTAAACATTATTCAAACCTGAAAGCCCAGAAGTTAACACTTATTTTACTTAATCTCAACTGGGCCCTTTAATAATTGGGCAATCCTACACTTAATTCTCTAACTCTCCACAGGTCCCAAAACATACTCAAACTTCCCAAGGTGCCACAACTCACCTCATTCTTTACCCCCTGTCCCAAATTCACTATTTATTGAAAATTTACTGAAAGTTCCCTCATCCCCTTTTATCTCATAACATTCTCCACTATGTATTCCTTTACTCATCTCTAATGGAGATGTACTCCGGACAAAGGAAACTCCCTTTCAGTAGAATGACAGCACCCTACAATACTTTAATAAATCTTGCTCCATGGATCCCCAGCAGCTAATTCCTTATGTTTCCTCCCTTTTCTGGAGAAATTCCTTGAGAAAGCTGTCTCCAATCAGTGCCTCAATCTCCTTTCCTCTCACTCTTAACAACAATTTGATTTTCAACCTCATTATTCAGTTGAAAGTGCTTTATCCAAAATTACCAATGACCTCTTTATTTCCAAATTCAGCCTTTTCTCAATCCTCATGCTCAAAGACCTCTTGTAACATTGACATACTTCCACTGGACACCTTCCCCTACGTTTTTGTGACAATGATGTCATCTTCTCTTGTAGCCTTTTACCTTGTCTGGCCATTTCTCAGTCTCAGATCACTGGATCACAATCCTTGTCAAATCCAAAGAATTAGAGATTCCTAAGCCAAAACATATCTCCTTTAGTGATCTCATTAGCTTTCATTAATTAGTTCGATTTTCATCCCTATGCTGAAGCTAAGATCCTATATACCCAAATTAGTCTCTTGACCTCTAATCCTTGACCTACTGATATCTAAAGTATGGTCCATAGCCATCTCAACCCAATTCTCTTTTCTCCAATCTTCCTTCTTTCACATTTCCATTATGAATTTGGGGGGCAACACCTCCCTCCTTCTTTCCCAGGTTCAAAACCTTGGCATCAACATCTCACTCTCACTCTGATCACAGTTTATTTTGTAATTTTAGTAACCTTCTGGCCTCTCCTATATCATTGCTTCCCTTCTATTCACAGTCACCACCTAGTTCTGACTTAGGTCTTGATTGTACTGCTATAGCAGTATTGTAACAGGTCAACTGAATTGGTCTCCTTGACTTTTTCCCCCCACTCCCATCTATCCACCACAAAGCTTCATACACTATAGGTATGTACCTAGCACCCATCATGAATAAACTCCAATAGTTCAACAATGTATTGATAGGCATTTAAAGTTTTTCACAAAATAGATGACTGTTTATACTTTTTCAATCTTCTCATAGAAGAGATCTCCAATCTCCTCATCATTAAAGTCCTGCAATATATCAGACAACTTGTAGTTTCTTGCAAATGGTATCTCATCTCCTATTGCTTTATCTTTACAATGGCTACCCCCAAGGCTAGAATACTGTCCCTATCCAGCTGTGCTTTCATTAAGATTGACTTCAATTATCACTTCCTGCAAGAGACTGTTTCAGATCACTCCAGCTATTCTGTGACTATTTATTTATATGTCTCCTTCAATAGAGGCTATTAAGTGGAAAGGAGGAATGTTGAATGAGGAAATGAGGAAAGTCAGAAAGACCTGAGTATAAATCTAGCCTCTGACACTTAACTAATTAGCTGTAACTCTGGGTTACCTCAGAGTAACCCAGCTCTGCCTCAGTTTCCTTATCTGTAAAATGGGGAATAGCACCTATTTTTCTCAGGTCTGTGTCTTGAGTAAGACAAGATATTTGTTATGCACTTTGCAAGCCTTAAAGCTCTATATAAATGCTAGTTAACAGTAGTAGTGTATTTATCATTCTAAGTATACATAAAACTTGATTCTTAATGCCTAATATTTATCAACTGATTTTTCCTGACTTCTCTGATGATCAAAACTCATCTATGTGAAAACTCCTGTCAGTATCTGTCACTAGGGGTCACGCAAAAATTGTTCCTGTAGATCTCTTGATACTGATCAGGTGCATACAAGGTATTCTTCAGTTACACCCCCTACCTTTACACTGTGACTAGTCTACCTTTTGGTTCAGTCACATGACACAGACATCCTTTACGCCAGGTCTGCTGTGTAATAATTCACTGATGACACTGTTGACTGCTGATACACCACCGCCTTTTGCATAACCAACTACATTTAAGTATTCAGAAACCGGTATTTTTCTTCCATGGAGTCATAAATGGTACTTTGGGTCATAAAAAGTACTGCAAAACAATCTGTCAGAGGCCATGCAGTCTACTCTCTTCCTGGGCCCAGATCACTACTATCCATTTGCACCATCAGTCCAAACTTTATGCTATGCAAGACTAATTCTAAGAGTTGTTTATCTAACTACATGTAATCAGTTTGAACAACAGGCATTTTTCCTCCACTTGGCTCTTCCTTTTTGGATAATTATGCCAGACCCTTGAGTCACTTCGGAGCTTACTTAGAAGGTTCTGCAACATTACAGGGCTAGATGCAATTTATATACAGTATCTTTAACTTTATCCAAATTCTATTTTAACTTTTTATGAAGAAAATATTGGACAAATATTGATACATCTGAGGTACAGAATGATAAGCCATTCTTTTTATTGACCCAAATACAGATGCAAAAAAAAAAAATGGATGCTATTGGCTACATAATAAGTAGGGTAGAGCAAAATGGGGGTGGCAATATTTTGAAGTCAACATTAGAAATAACACACGAACTTGTTGATAGATATTAAAGTCAAAATAGCAATACTGAAGAATGTTAGAAATATTACACTTCATATGCCTAATTATTCGTATTTCTATTAAGTCTCTATGGTGAATTACTATTGCCAACTGGAGTAACATAAAAAAATAGATAAATCAAACACTGATTTTGATGTCTGAAATCTCTACCAATGTGCTATTCCACGTGCACTATTAGGAAGCAATAACACTTTCTTTTTGCTACTAATATTCTTTCCCTGCTTTATCTTCCAATAATGTCTTTCAGATACAGTATGAATAGGTAATAATGTGAATCAAGATCCAGCTAACACCAACAGGAGGTATGGAAATGAGGAAAAATTAAGGGAAAAGGTACATATGATTCAAATTAATCAACCTGAGAATCTTAAATGACAAATGAGATGCATCAAAAAGGATATGTACTTTAAATCTGCAATTGCCACTTTAAAATTAAATTGAAAGGTAACAACTTTCAAGCTAGATGTGATTTGCTTTGTTTTATTAGAAAAAATACTTAGGCAAGGGCTACAATCATCTGTCAATTATGAATGACTTACAAGGACATGAAGCAATAAAATAAAATACAGATACAAATTATATATCCGATTATTGGCAATTTCATAACAAATTTAAGATAACAATGGAGATTGTAGGTTACTTTATAGGTACAGAATAAAGCAGTAGATGAAGTGCTCCAGCAAAAGAACAGAAACCAAAAGAAAAATATCCAAAAAAAAAGAAAAAGGAAAAAAAAAATCACATTGCTACAGAGCTTATGTATAATATTCTTATTAAACAACCTTTCCAGAATGTCTTAACATTAGTGCTGTAATTGCACTTCTTTTAATTTCATGACTCATTATTTCTAGAGCTTTTTAACCCATTGGAACCAAGAAGGCCTCTCATGTTTATTTTTTTTTTTTAATTTTTTTAAAAAAATTATGTAAATGCAAAATGCACTGTGTTATCATGAAAATTCTCATCTTGGAACCAAAGGGTTAATTCTAAACTTTTGTCTCTTCTTTAAAAAAATTTAGTGTAAAAACTGCTGGTTTTTATATTTACTGTAGTAAAGTGAAGACTCCTCAATTAGGAGGATTTTGTGCAGTTTGACTGCACATTACAACATACTTTACAATAGGTCCTTCCAACAGTAAGGAAATAATTGATTTCACGGTCACTGTCGGAAATGAGTGCCATAATTCTATTATGGTTACTGTTCATCCCTCAAAGACTTCTGGAAGGATGTTCAATGTATTTCATTCTTACAACAGATATTAACAGTAGTACATAGTCCCTTAAGTCTCCAAAAGACATTTATTGTTAAGGAAGGTGCTTTATTAACAATTCTTCTGGCAGCACTAGTGAATTACAATATCCTTCAATATTATTTCTACCATAATATATACATTTTAACTTTCATGCCTCTAGAAAAACATCTACAGTACATTTCATAATATAAAAATATATTACAAATCTGCTGAATTATTTACAAGCAACGTTCTATTATCTCTATGCAACATTTTTGTCTCCATACAAGACTAACAAGTTACACAATTTTCTATTTCTTTAAGTTTAAAAAAAATCCATATGGCTTCTTGCTTAATAAGCAAGAAAGTGATTTATTTTATTTTCCCAAACCAACTTTGGTGCATAAAGAATTCAATTTCCAGATATGTAAAAAAAAAAAAACAATTTTTTTTCTTACATCAAAAGAAAAAAATCAATTGCTTTTCTCATGAAAAAAAATCGGTCTTAAATTGAAAACATCAAGAGTATTCAAAAATTCTGAAATATAGGTTTTTCAAAAACCGTAACAGATTCATTATGTAAGCAAATATTAACATACTGTACTCCATGAGAAAGCCCTAATCCTGAAAAGGGAGTCACCAGACATACTGCAACACTCTTAACAGTTTAAGTTTCAGCCCTAATTCGATAGATGAAATTTTTGGTTGATTGCAAATGACGTTCACTGTTTGCTTAAATACAAATTGAATACTTTTCTTATCAGAGTTCTGCAAAAGAACACAAATGGCAACCAATCACATCTATTAATCATAATTGAAAATTAAAATTATCTCCTGATAATTTTCATTGTCTTAATATCTTAATCGAGTTTAAATCAATGAACACTGTAGAAACAAACATTCTTAGAGTGCTTTTGAAATTTGTTAAGGGCACAAATTGAATAATGTTTTTCAAATATAAACTACTGGAATCACTAAAGAAAAGCAGCTTAAAGCAGCAAGCATGCAAAGCTTTTAAGAAGTTGTTCCACTAAGTTGCCAGAAGAGTGGTTGCTCAGTCTCCCACTGTACCATTCCATGAAAATGTGGATATACAGTAATATATTAATACATTCCACAGAAGCATCTACTTCATTCACAGAATGTTTACACTAAGCATAAATATTATCTAAATACTGGGGGAGGGAGGAGAAAAAAGGAAGGGGTTGACTCTAATGTGCAACTTTATTCCTAAACCCATTGTCAGTGACTAAGACTGTAGGATAGTATCCCCCGTTTGTTTGCTTTATTTATTTATTATTATTTTTACCTCTTCAACCTCTTCTGTGGCATTGTTCTAGAAAAAAGAAAAAATATGTATTTTATTATAAAGGTTTTTTAAAAACTACAAACAAGACAACTATTCATGATAAATTCTTTTATAGCAAAATATATACATGTAATATTTGTTATTTGACACTTTTCTGTGGAATTTATTTATTCAAGTTTTTAGGTTCTACTATTTACTATTAACCCTCTGCTAAAATTTCCTTGTCAGAACTTACTAGCTCACCCTATATCTGAAATTGATTCTTAAGAAGTATTAATATTTGTATTTTTTCCCAACAGGACGTTTGTCTATGAGATGACAGATGAGGAAAAGAAAAATTTAGAAGGAATTGCTTTAATGTACTTATCAATGCTAAGGCTTGTTTCATTAAACTAGTTTATCAGTTCCACTATATTCTTATCACAAGAAATTTTCTATCTAACATAAATTAGATAACTTTAAAAAAAGTTTTCCTCAATCCCTTAAAAAGGCATTCAGCTCCCTAATGTAAAACCAAAAATCAAAAAATTTTAGAGTTGGATGGAAATTTAGAAATATTTCAGTCTAACCCCTAAACACATACAGATATTGAGGCCTACACAAACTACAAAGACGGCCCACAATCCCCAACTATAACAGCCTTCCCAATCCTAATTGGAAACCCTGTGTGAAAGTAGTACTATAACTTTTCTATGGTCAAACGGCCAACCTCAGAGGAGGGCTTCCTCTTGGGAAGGGTCAAAAAGAGATGGGGTTTGGGGCTTATCAGTATGGGAAATTCCCAGTGTAGAACTCCTGTGTGCAAACTCCCTCCAAAAACGCAGATCAGGAAGTAATCTATAACTTATAATTTTTAAAGAGTTGCCTGGGGCACTTAGAGGTTATGGGACTTTCCTATAGTCATCACTTTATACATTACTGAAAGATCTTCCTGACTCAAAGGCTGGAGATCTATGATTATTCAATGCTGAACATCTCTAGGAAGATTTCAAGAGACTAAGGAAGCACCACAATTTAATTGTCACAATACATTTACAGTATCAAAACAAAGTTAATATCAGCAACTAAAGACTTTTTTCTAACCACCACATAATAATCTTGAGAAAAACCTAAATATGGGTAAAGTGATGGTCAATTTTTTCTTAAATACAGGAAATTCATGGAAGGAAGGTATCAAAAGGAGAATCAATCCAAACACAGGATACGCAGACTCTATGCTCACAGCTTTTACTTATACCTTGAGGAATATCTGTTGAATCTGAAATGCATATTTCCCCACTCTGAACTCCAAAGGTGAAAAACAAAATGCGAAATTCAGAGCAATTACTTTGTTGTATTAGGATTCAGTTGTTTTGAATAATGCTCAAAAAAATGAACAAGCAAATTGTGCTTCAAAATGCCTAAAATGAAAGTATTTCGATTTATTAAAAGCTCCACTCCTCAATTTGATCAGGAGTGAAATAGAAAATAATTCCCAATACCCATTGGCCATTATAGATTACAAATCAACTTAACAAAAACTTACGAAATTTCTAATGTACGTATGCAATGCATTATGCATTGTACTATGAACATTATTTTAGTCCTGTAGTTGTCTGCCAAAGATTAACTGGTGACATGAATAAAACTATAATTTGTTCCAAGAATTTAATTTCTTTATCAATATATCCTAAACTTCTTGCAGTATTTGAGCATTTTTTAAAAGTCTTTATTTTCATTCTGTTATTTGTATTATGGTACACCAATAGTACACCAATGCCAAAGCAGGCCAGATTGGAGGGAAAAAAAATCTATTATAAATGTGACCATTTTAATCTAATAAACTTAACCCTGTGTCACCAAAGAAACATTTTTTGAAAATCAAATTGTTTAAACTACCTAGAACACTTAATATGTACTTTCTTTCCCTCCCCCACAAAGTCTTACCAAAAAAACTGGCAGTACTTACATGAAAAGTACTGGTTTCAAAGTAATACTACATTGTATTACAAGTGAACAGTAAATACTTAAGATAAATTTGGACTTGAAAAAAATTAGCATACAAACCAGTATGTGATCTTAACAGAAGTGATCTTTCAGGATTCCACTGTATGTACTTCTTTTACTAGAATTTCTGTATACCAAGCACAAAAAAGTAAAATACACTTGGTAAATAAACACATTCCCTCTTTCTCAGTAACTAGATTTCAGTTCATGAAGGTAGATTATTTAAGAATTTCTTAAAACTTCAGAACTTGCTGGGCACTAACCAAGACTGACATTCCTGCCCTAACAATCCCTTGCATTAATTTCAACATACAATATTTTTTAAAAAGCTTAGTGAGTCTTAATGGTTATGCTCTATAAAAGTTCAAAATGAAATTACCTGTATATGTTTGGGTCCAAAAGCAAGGCAGTGTCTTTGGGTAGCTTTGATAAATGAACTACTTTAGTTTTTAGTTGATGTCGTTCACTTTCATTTACCCACACATCAGGCAAACTATGGGGAAAAATATAAAACATTTTTAAAGATCACTTCTTTCTCACCCCTAAGTTAAATGGTAAATGTACAATTAAAAACCTTCTGGCTTTAAAATATTATTACTAGAAATTATAAAAGGTGGTGCTTCTTAAGGGCATGTCTTTAATAATAAACATTCCATAGCTGTTAATGTTCTTAAGCTACTGATGCCAAGTAAATATTTCCTTTTTGAACTGAAAGATCTTAATAGTTTTGAAATTATAAGTATAAAAGCTCCATAAAAGGCCTAAAGAAGAGTAGACTAGTTTTGGATTCTTAAAGATAAGATGGCATATTCCTGCATTAAAATGTTTCAAACAATTACACAAACCAACTCAAATTCCATTACTATTGAAAAAATAGAATAAACTAAAAGTTTAATTCCACAATGATTTAACATATTTCGATTTAGCATATTTCGTCCCTGATCTTTTCAAAGCCAGCCTTCATTGGGTGCCCCTATCTCACTGTCATACTGCCTAGCCCCACCCCACCCCACCCCACAAATAATCAACTTTCTTGTCTTTCACTTTCTGACATTTACTGCTTTCCTGTGATTCATCTCACCTATACCTCTCTGCCTAGTTAAACAGGAGCCACAGAAGCCACCAAACAATGTAATATCCCATGTAGCTCAAAATCTTAGTAGAATTCTGCCTCTAAGTTTTAATTATGTCAGATGTCTTCAACTGCTCAAAATCTACTTTAGGGCTTATGTGGCCTGCTTTCTGAAGCTACAGATATTGGCCAGGCAGTCAAATATGAACATGAAGAAACAGCACCAGCTCAAGAAAACAACTACTTGTGTAATTAAAAAGTACTTGTTTGAGAAAATGAAGGTAGGAACATTTAAATCTATAACAATTATGTAGGCAAGCTATTAAAGTAAAATCATAAAATTTTAGAACTAGAAGCAATCTTCTATTCCATCTCATTCATTCTACACATGAAGAAATTAAGGGCAAAAAAAAAAAAAAAAAAGTACTAACTTCCCCCTAGTCAAAGTGTTTGCAAGTGGCAGAGTCCAAACTAGAAATCAAAAGCCTCCAGAATATAATATACTGTCTCCTCTATAATATACTGATACCATTACTTATATATCCAAGAATCTCACCTTCCTCTAGCCCCCAAAAAGGTAAAAATAATGAACACCTTAGCACATGTAAAAGAAAATTGTACAGAGGCAGCTAAGTGGCACCCTGAAGTCAGAAGAACCTGAGTTCAAAAGTGGCCTCAGACACTTGACACTTACTAGCTGTGACCCTGGGCAAGTCACAGAAGAAGAAAGAAAATTGGTATAAAAAAAAAATTTGGAGCTCTTGTATTGTTTATTGTTAACAACTGGTTAAAAGAAAACTATTTAGGAAATTGTTTACCATTATAATTCTCTAATTAAAGACCTAGATACTAACCCAACAGTAGTTCACTTCTAAAATTTCTAATACTTACATATCTTCTGGCATCCAATGAAGCAGCAGTTTTATTTTTCCAGAATCTTCTTTTCTCTTGGCTATTACCTATTAATGGTATTAAAAATGACAAAGAAATGTGGAAAATGTACATTTTAAAACAAGGAAAATTGCATGTGTTTCTCCCACTTCCTCCAGTACCAATCATTCAATATGCCACAAAGTCAATTGAATCATTTTTTTAAAATGACCTCCATATTGAATTAAAGAGGAAAAATTAAATGTAAAAACTTGAAATTATGATGTACCAAAACACTAAATACACCTCTTCCCGAAAATGCTATTAAAAGGTACTGTGAAATGTAGAATCTTTTTCAAAGTCTGTTTCAGTTTTATATCTAAAATACTATTTGAAAAGCATTTTTCAATTGACAAGTTAAAAGGCTAGTTGGTTAACTCAAAAAGGCAATTTCTTTGTTTAAGAGCTTAACTTTCATATTAATTATGTAAGTCAATGATAAACGGCCTATAAAGAATAAGAAAGTCACGATATGAAAAGCTAAGATGTCAGTACTAAAAGTCCTATGCTAATAGATGGATCAACATATGTTCTATAATTGTTGTCCTTTTTCATATTAGATTGACCAATGGTGTCTTGAATTTAATAAGATCCATACTTGAATCACATAAGAGCCAATTATTCCAAATGAAAATTGAATTATATCTAAAGAATAAAATACTTTGATTTTTTAAGAACATCCCTGGTAGACAATGTAATTTTGCACATTAGAGATTTAATATGCATAAATGTTCCCTTTAACTTTAAACTTTTAAATTACTGTAAGTCTAGTCTATCCCAAATGAAAGATTTTAACACTGGAAAAATTTAAAGGATTCTAGAAGATAAGTTAATCTTAGCCTAGTATACTAAAAATTAAAGCAAATCAAATAATAACTAACATTCTGCTGACCTCTTCTGGAGAAGACAGAAAAGCAAGTTCAAAAAGAGAAAGAGAATCAATTATTTATCATTCTTTAAAAAAAGATACCTAAAAGGCAGATGACTGAAAAGGATAGGTATTTTTGATGAAAGATCTATTCTTAAAGATTTCAAAGTTTGTAATGGCTAAAGACATTTTCAAAAAAAATTTTTTTAATTTTTCTTTGGAAATTTTTAATAAATTCACAATCACTAGAGTGATTTTTTTAAAAAAAAAAAAAATTTTTTCACCTCCTATTGGCTTCACTTGCACAATTTTTTCATCAAGAATCACAGGCCTTAGACTACCATTAGGACTGTGTTCCCACTTGCCCAGGGTCACCCAGCTATTAAGTGTCAAGTGTCTGAGGCCAGATTTGAACTCGGGTCCTCCTGACTCCAGGGCTGGTGCTCTATCCACCGCGCCACCAAGCTGCCCCAGGAACAGAATTCTTTAAAACATTATTATAAAGCAGTTCTTCCATTTGCTTGCCTTAGACTCTAAAACCAATCTCAATTCTGCTTCCCACAACAATACTTTGTTCTTAATCTTTCTATCTCCATCCCTCTGACCACTATTCTTAATCATGTACCTGAAAGAATTAAACCCCATTTAACTGGGAAGCTCCTTCAGCACACCTTTTTGGACTTTTTACTATTACTTTTCCATTGGAAACAAATTTATCTTTATTCAAAATCAACCTTCTCTCTCCTATGATGATGTCAGATTTTCTGCAGTGGTAATCTTATGGGGAACTCAATTCCCTCTTCCCTAAACTCCTTAAGAAAATGTGTATGAGGGTAGAATTAGGATAGAGAATTGCAGAAATAGTCTTTCACTATCCAATGACAAATTCCACTTTCAGTTTCCTTATCCTTTGAAACCTTTCTCCTCCCCACCCAAATAAGTTAATCTCTATTGCTTTCATGAATGGTTTTAGCGTGGTGAACACTTCTCTCTGTAATATCAATTGGGCAAATAGGATTAAGTGACTTGCCTAGGGTCACACAGCTAGTTAAGTGTCAAGTGTTTGGTCTGAGACCAGATTTGAACTGAGGTCCTCCTGATTCCAGGGCCTGTGCTCTACCCACAGTGCCAACTAGCTGCCACCTTCTATTTACTTTTTATATAAATTGCCTATACTTCTATTTCCATATAAGGTTTCCAAGAAGAATTCAGTGTCCTTGTGAATACAGAGAACTTCACTCATAAAATGCCTACCACACAACAGATATTTGATAAATCCATATTGATGGGAGATAATTTAAGGGAAAAGTTATGGCAAAATAAAATAATATACACCTTTTCTTTGTATTTAAAATTCAGGGGCATATGTATGTTTACATATATATGCAAGCAAAAAAAAAAATCTAGAATACTTACAGTACTATGAAAAACAACACTGTGTCCCTTTCCTAAACTTTCTATATGGGCTGAGAGATTAAAGCATATGGCTCGGTGTCGTATTGCATCCAGTGTCTGTGCATCAAAGAAGTCATGGGGTCGTGCTAAAAAACAGAAAAACACAAAACGGTATTTTAAAAAAATTCAACCTGTCAAACAATGTGCTCTATGCAGTTACCTTGCCCAAGAAACTTTCCCAAGAAACTTTCCCTAACAAAATGTCATGGAGAGTTTCAGTCCCTCAAATCACTTATGTCCTACTGGACATTTTACATAAAATGTCCTAGAGACATCTCAAAATCAAGATATCTAAAACTTAGTTTCATCCCCTAAAGCTTTCCCTCTTCAAAATTTCTGTCAAAGGTTAATAATAATCCCAGCATAAATCTGAACTCCTTACTCATCCTTACTTCCACTACATACAATTTGTTGTATAATTTTAACTATTTCTACCTATAAAATGTCTTGACTCTAACCCCTTTTCTCCTCTTACAGAGCTACTACCATGTTATTTTCTCTCAAGAGATTAATACAACAGGTTAATTGACTTCCTTTCCTAATGTCTCTTGCCACTCCTATCCATCCTATTATACTGATAACAAATAATTTTCATTAAGCACAGATGTGGCATTCCCCATCCCCTATGCCTAGAATTCACTCCCTCTTCACCTTTACCTCAGTGAGTCCCTTTTTTTCCCCTCCTTTTTAGGCAACTGGAGTTAAGTGACTTGCCCAGGGTCACACCACTAGTAAGTGTCAAGTGATTGGCTGAATTTGAACTCAGGTCCTCCTGACTTCAGGGACAGTGCTTTGTCCACTGCACCACCTAGCTGCCCCCTGTGAGTCCCTTTCTTAAAGATGAATTTCTGCAAGAAGATTTTGCTAACACCCCACACACATACACACAGGACCTACAATTGTTTGTGTTTATTTTGCAAGTAGATATATAAACACATCTGTCCTCTGCATTAGAATGTAAGCTCCTTAAGAGGGATCATGTTATTCATGTCCTTTGCAATTGATAGTGCTTAACACATAGAAGGAACTTAAATGCTTGACTGATTTTAAACTGTAATAATATTCTGAGATTACTGTTAATGCCTGAAGATGAAAATTAGAAATTTCTAAGTTAGATAGTTTTCATTTAAAACTATTTGAAATTGTTCAATGGATTACAAGAACATGAATATCTTTTCAGATTTCAATAAATCAACATAATAAACCATAATCCTAAAAAAAATATAAACTTTATCAAATGCCTCTCCAACAGGGCTCTTCTCAAATAGCAAATAAAGTATATGTTTAGTTACCACAGAGCTCAGATAAAACAATGTTAATTTTTTTTTTTAACCAATACTGCACTATATCAGGCAACTTTAGGAACTTATCTGAAGACAATGCAGTCAGGAAAAAGAATGCCTTAATTCATTAGTCTGACATGCCTAATGCTTAATGACATTATAGATTTATCAGCTCCCAGGACATAGCTGCTGCTATGACTATGACTAAAGGAGTTCAACAGAATCGACACTAAAAGCCTTCACGTGAACTCCAGGCCCCGTCCTTCAAAATTTGAGAGATTTCAATATTCACATTGTCATTTTTAATCCAGTTCAGCAACCTCTTCAACTTTCATGAATTTCCTCTCCAATCTGCAGTATGTGTAGAATAGTTGAATTTGGAATTATGACCAAGGTTCAAATACTAGATCTGTCACTTAATGATAACCATGTGAATCTAAGTAAGTCACTAAACTTCTCTTGGTTTCAGTTTTATTATATGTAAAATTAGAGTGTGAGACTAGATGATATCCAAGTCATTCCATGTATCATCCTGTCATTTACCAGCATCACTCTTCCCTAAAACTGTGACATTGAAGCTTCTCCCTCACTACGTCCCCACTCCCTCCCAATACTCCTCCTTATTTCCAATTTCCTAGGCATTATCAGCACAAAATAAAATCTGTACAAAACTGAATTCACCTTCTATCTTAAACCCTTCTTCCAAATTTCTATTTCTGTTGAGGGTACAACCATTCACAGTCACCCAAGTTCCTTTCTCTCATTCCTTCACGCGAACTCAAAATTCACTTCAGATCAATTCCCTTCTCTTTACTCACATAGTCATCTCTCTGCAGTTCCCTATTCCCAGTCTCTCCCTTCTCCACTTAATCCTTCAGGTACAGCTGCCAAAATTATCTTCCTAAAGCAACAAGTCTTACCAAGTCACCCATTACATCAAAAAACTGAAGTGACTCCCTACTATCTGTAGGATAAAACATGAATTCCTCCTCTATTACAGGCCCTCCACAATTTAGCACCAACATACCTTGTTGGTAAACAATCTTCATGTTGTTCTCCAAACAACATGCCTCTGTTCAAAATACATTCTACGCATTTTCAGAACCCTTCCTTCAAAGCTGAGCTCAGGTACTACCTTCTCCTTCAGGACTTCACTGACCTGCCCAATTGTTATAATATCTCCTTCTCCTCCAATTACCTTTCAATACATTTGTCTACATACATGTTGAAGCCAACCTCAAAAAAATACACAGAACAGTTGTTGTATCGACAGCATAAAGGAAAATATCTGTTGAATGAACAAAGGCTGATTTATGTTCTGTAATTGTGCATTAAGTGATGGAAAGTTCACTCTTACTAGTTGTGCAAGTACTTCGGAGCCTCTCTACAACAACTTGACAAGAAGTCAATCATTGTTAAAAGCTCTTTTCTTTGAAATACAAAACTTTTTAAAAATCTTTTTAATGCATTGTCTCTATTATTTTCCTTCCTCTCTTCTCTCCACCAAAACCTTGCCAACACTCAGATTCCTTCTCCCATTCATTTCAAAGCAACTTCCGCATCTATGTTCACCCTATTTCCTCCATTCTTAGAATGATCCTACCCAAACGCTCCTACCTATAATCAAAAAACTATCTTCTTCCTCTGTAGCAATTTGCCTTCATGTCTCCCTTCCTCACCAAGACTACAAACTCCTTGAGAGTAGGGATCATATCCTTTTCACTTGTATTCTGTTCAACTCACTGCCTTAATACTGCATAAATGACATGCTTATGACATTACTTTTATTGGTAAAAAAACAAAAGCATACTCGTTCCAGAATAAAAAAAAATTCATTATGTATGAAATTTTCCTCATAGTGTGAGGAAAAGAGCTCAGGACTCCTTAATAAGGACTTTAAATTTGAATAGAAAACACCTATAATTCCACTCAAATCAACAAATATTAACTATGAGCCTACCAGATGCATAACATGGTTCTAGTGTAATCAATTAGTTTACATTTTACCTACAACAAAATAATGCATTCTCTCATAATAGGTCTCTTATCTTTATCTATAATTTGATGGATTTTATTAAATCCCTTATTGCATTAACTAGGAACCATTCAGCCTCTCATGATAACAGGCACTAAATTGCACTGACTCTTAAAATCTGTATTTTCCTGCTACATGTACTTTATACAAGTATTAAATACTCAAATTTATTTGGGACATTTTTTATCTTTCCTTTTTTAATTTGTAAGAGAATCAAAAGATGTTATTTTAAGATCTGGTTACATAAAAAAACTTAACTTTCACATGTCGTGCAAAGTATTAACATGCTTATTTTCCATAATTTTTAAGAATATTAAAATTTCTACATTAATTCTTTCCTAGGTAAAACCCAAAAAGTAGAAATTCAAATTCTACTTGTCCAGTACTTTGAAGTAGTACAAATGAACAACGTTCTCCATAGTTACACATTTGGTTTAATTCTCATAATGAAAAAAAAAAATGTAAGAAAAAAAGCTAACTCGATGAAAAGAACCTATTAGAATAAGGAGAAAATTATACGGATAGCCACAAATGGGTTCCCAGGAATGTCTAAAGATACAAATAAATAGCTAAGATAATGAATAGTTTTCCTCTCAGGTTAAATACTTACGTAATGAGCGTCGTCTTTTATTCTTTAACTTCCTCCGCTTGTTCATTCCAGCTTTAGAAGGAGATTCCTCTTTGGCCTTTGGCTGGCTGGCAACTTTTGAAGAATTCTGCTGACTAAAGTGTGTGGGTACATGACGAGCTAGCCCTCCCTGAGATGCAAAGCTGGCATTGCAACCACCAACAACACACTAAATTAAAAGAAAAAAAACTCATAAGATATATACATATATACATATATATATATACACACATACACATAAGTGAAAGTTGAGATTCAAGAGGCTCCAAATTTATTTAGAAAAAAATCAGTTAGGCTTTCCACAACTAAAATGTTTCATTCCAAAACAAAGTTTAAGTTTATAATAAAAACAACAACAACAAAAAAATAGAAAGTGCAACTCATTCATTACCCATTTTTGTTCAATAGGGACAAACCAAGATTTTTCCATCAATTACACAAAATACTACAGGCAGCAGAAACTTTATTTACAGATTACATTCAACAGCTATCTGTACACCCTCACTGTCTGTATGGAAATTGCTAGGAAGCAGGCCAAAAAAACTGGAGGAAAAATGTTTTCTGTCATAGGCTCTCAAATTCTATTGACTGTAATTCTAGCCCTAACCGAATTAAACACATTTGAAATCTAAATTCAATTTAGTAAATACTTACTAAGCACTTTTGATGAGGTATTGTCCTTGTCCCAGATACACATGAAACTTATGAAAGAAGACACAACTTCAAAACAAATTATAATAGTATAAAAAATAGCCATTTACTATTTACTGTGTAATCCATTATACATATATTCAAAACATCTAATTTCAAAGTCCAGGAAACACCCTAAGTGTTAAGAATTAAGAACAGAACTACCAGAAAATGACTAATGACAAGTAAACGGTTGATATAAGTAGACTGTGTCTCAAGAGAGAAAGCGCCATACTTAGCTATATCCCATATATTCAATACCAAAACAGCAGTTTCTTTGTACATATTAGAAATACAGCTTCTTCTGATGTTATGGTTCATAAGTTACTCATTCAAATAGCCCTTTAAGATTTAAAAATCACTTTTGTTACAACACTATTAGTTAGTGATAATATTAAAAGCCCACTTGAGGGGCAGCTAGGTGGCACAGTGGATAGAACATCGGCCCTGAAGTCAGGAGGACCTGAGTTCAAATTCGGCCTCAGACCAAACACTTGAAACTTATTAGCTGTGTGACCCTGGGCAAGTCACTTAACCCCAACTGCCTAAAAATAAAATAATAATTTTTTTTTAAAAGCCCATTTGATGAGGCAACTAAATCTCAGGGAGCACTTGCCTGATACTATAAGCAAATTAGGGGAGTATGTTACAGTACATGTCAGATCTATGCATAAGGGAAGAATTTAGGACCAAACAAGAAACAGAGAGCACTATGAAAATTGATAGTTCTTATTATATTAAAAATGTTTTCACACTAACAAAGCCAATGCAACCAAAATTAGAAGGAAAGCAAAAATCTGGAAAAGAAATTTTACACCAAGTATCTCTGATCAAAACGCCTCATTTCTCAAATATATAGAGAGCTAAGTCAAATTTGTAATTATACAAGTCATTCCTAAACTGATAAAATGACTGACGTACATGAACAGGCAGTTGTCAGATAAAGAAATCAAAGCCATCTATAGTCACATGAAAAAATGTTCTAAATCACCACTGATTAGAGAAATGTTCATTTTAAAACAAATCTGAGCTATCAGATTGGCTAACGTGACAGAAGAAAAATGACAAATACTGGAAGGGATATGGAAAAATTGGGATACTGATCAATACACCACTGATGAGTTATGAATCAAACCAACCATTGTGAAAAGTAATTTGGAACTATGTCCAAAGTGCTATCAAACTGTGCATACCACTAATAGGCATGTATCACAGAGAGTTTTAAAAAAGGGAGGGGAGCGAGAGACACTACAGAACCTATTTGTATTTTTGTGGTGGCTAACGATTAGAAATTGAGGAGGTACTCATCAGTTGGGGAATAGCCAAACAAGTTGCAGTATATGATTTTAACAGAGTATTACTGTGGCTTAAGAAATGATCAGCATGGGGCAGCTAGGTGGTACAGTGGATAGAGCACTGGCCCTTAAGTCAGGAGGACCCAAGTTCAAATCCGGCCTCAGACCAAACACTTGACACTTACTAGCTGTGTGACCCTGGGCAAGTCACTTAACCCCAATTGCCTCACTTACAAAAAAAAAGAAAAAAAGAAATGATAAGCAGAATGATTCTGGAAAGACTTCAATGAACTGATGCAGAGAACAGAACCAGAAGAACACTATACATAGTAACAGCATACTGTACGGTGATCAACTGTGAATGACTTGGCTATTCGCAGCAATACAGTGATCCAAGACAAGGACAAATGTTTCATGTGAAATACTATCCCGCCTCCAGAGAAAAGAATTGATGGAGTATGAATACAGACTGAAGCATAGTATTCTTCACTTCTTTCACAAAATGACTGAAATTTTTTTTAAATGTTAAAAATTGGGGAAATAAAAGTATTATTATAAGTGTAAGGCATGCATTTGAAATTCTTTTCAATGTATTATGCTCCCTTAACCATGACTAATTTTGATCACAATAGTGACCAAATCTTTTCTTAGGTTGACTGTAATTAAAAATACCGGGACTACTTTGTACCGGGACTACAGTACCTACCTAGCTTCACTGAATTTAGCCTCAGTCCAAAGGTATCCACACTGTCTAGAGACCAAAACTGTCTGCCAGGATAATCATGGCCCTTGTTACTACCAATATTAAATGTCCCTAAACCTTTAAAACATAAAAGGGATTCTTTCCTATTCATCTTACTAATTCTAATCCTTGTTTCCTTTCCCTCCTTTCCAGATTTTACAGAGAGAACAGTGCAGCTGACCACTACCGAAAATGTTTATTTTAGGGGCAGCTAGGTAGTGTAGTAGATAAAGCTCAGGCCATGGAGTCAGGAGGACCTGAGCAAAATTTAAGTCAAGAAAGTGTTCAATGTAGCATGAATAGAATTTAGTAGCATTAAATATTTAATTTAATTAAACATTTAATAGCACTGAAGGTAGACCAGAATCCCAATAAAAATGCACCCAAAGCTAGTGCACAACTAAAGGGAGTATCCAGATTGAAATAAAAGATCATCTTAGGTATCTAAGTATGTAAAAAATGTGATATGAAGAATAAGTTAAAGTATAAAATATAAATAATTACTTGGTAACCCTTAGAAGGAGGAGCTATCAGTTTTCTTCTTATATGGGATATCACTATATTAAAATATGCCTTGAACACAATGGCAAGCATGGATATGTAGGATATGCTGAAGAGTAATGTTTATTTTTCTGGCTCCAGTCAAATTTAATGATCAGTAAGTAGAAATGGATAAAAAGGAAAAAATCATTTTAAGTGATTCAAAGAAACACTCTAAAATACAAAAGTGAAAAATATCAATAAAGTGTAATTATCCCAAATGGGTAGCACTGTCAATGAAATTAAAGTTTAACTGGTAATTATTATTCTTTCTGTTTAATTATACAAAATACTAGATTCTTACAGGATAAAGTTGTCAACACTGTCTATGCTGCATCAGGACCAGCAACAGAAAAGAATAAGGAGCTGATGAGAGGCTTCATGACAATGCCTAACCCTGTGGGGTTCACTCATTTAGCAGCATGGCTGAGAATGGTATACAAGTAGGGAGGCCACCTAGAGTACAACAAGCTAAGGGATACGATGTATGACACTTTTTGTACATTATTTTGGGCCAGGCCTGTCTAAGTGACTTAGAACTAGAATGCAGTGAGACATTTGTTCAGGAATATAAAAAGCAATAAAAAAAAATCTTACTTGTGAGAAGCCTGGAGTCAGAAAACCCCGAGTTCAAATCTGGATTCTGACTCTCTCAAGCTGTGTGACTCTGGGCAAGTCACTTGATCTCTGTGCCTCAGTTTACTCAACTGTAAAATGGGAATAATAGCACTTCCCTTCCAGAGTTATTGTGAGAATGACAAGATATTTTTAAAGCCACACAGTGGCTATCTTATAGTAATCAATAAACGCTTTTTAGAAATAACATTTAAAACCCAAAGTTATAAAAACAAAAGTAAAAAAAAATTGTTTTCACATGCAACTGGGAAGATATACAGGAAATGGGGTACAGAAATCTATCCTGCCCTGCAGGAAAATTGAAGGGTAAGAGAATATGAGGAGGAGAGAAATAGAAGGGAGGGCAGATTAGAAGAAGGGGAATTCAGAATGCAGGCCATCTTGGGGTGGGGGGAGGGATGAGATGGGGAGAAAATTTGGAACTCAAAAATCCTGTGGAAGTGAATGTTGAAAACTAAAAATAAATTTAAAAAAATAAAGTTATGGAGATAAAAAGAAAAAAAAAGAAATAACATTTAAGAACATAAAATTCCTAATTATAATCAACTGCTCTCTTGATCCTCCTTTTATACATTGCAGTACCCCTCATCTTCAATGGGTTGTCTTCCCTCATTACAAAGCAAACTCCTTGAGGATAGACACTTGGCTTCTATTTGTATTATTATTTGTATTGTATTTGTTAACTTTAGGAATACAAATAGAAGCCAACAAGTGCTTGACATTTAGTAAGCACTTATATTAATTTACCTCTTTCAGTCAGTAACTTTCACACCCAAATTTTCTCTCTCCAGATTCCTAATGCCATAGAATATTTTCCTCCTCTCCCTACACTGCTATCATTCCTTTACAGCTGGTCCTTATCTAATTCAGACATCTCTGGACACTATTACAGCACTCCTGAGCATAACCTCAACTGTGTCTTTACTATTGCTGGGGAAAACCCTTCCACTCAATTCTTAATTCTTCATCATTTTCCAAAATGACTATAATAATGATGTTTTCTCCTCCCCCTCCCAAATGTCACTGTATCCCCACTTTTATAGCAGATGACCTAAGATCCTACTTCCATGCATATTGTGGGTACCCATCAATACTGGCTCAGCTCCTTGCTTTCATTCTTCAAAACATGATCACTTTCTTCCTTCACTCCTTAGGAGATAATAGATATCTCCATTCTTTACTATAGCAAGTACCTCAGCAAGCTCCCTCATCTTGTAAAAAAAAAAAACAAAACAAAAAACAAACCACCCATTTCGCTTTCTTTTC